AGTTGTGCCGCCAATCAACAATTCTATTTCTTTTGCTAAAAGCAGACCACAATTTATGCGAAATGGTAGCTGCTGTATCATTTTAATACTTATATATTTTCGTATATTTAATAACACCTTTCGGATCAGTCGATTGAATTCCATATTAATTGTGTTGAGTTTATTCTCCATGCTAAATTTACAATATATAAAGAGTAAAGCAGAATTAGTTTAATCTGAATTTACATCCTTAAAATTATTTCATTTGCCATAAGTAAGTTTTGTTAAATTTATAAATAATAAATTCTTTTAAAAATGTAATCGCCTGTATGCTTACAGCCTTATCTACTTGTAACATTTCTATCATTAAGGCATTTATACTGTTGCTTAAATTTATTATAATGTAGAATAATTAGAAGTATATTGAAAAACATGTCTATATCTCTTTCGAGGCCTTCGATATATACATTATTAGCAATTTTAATTAAACTTTAATGACGTATTCTATACAAATTTTAACATTTTATTAATATAGGCCTACTGTATTTTAATTGAATTTAAAGAAATATAAAAATATAAAGAGAATTCTGAAAAAAATTCTTTATAATTATAAAACTACCGTCTTTGAAATGATTGTTTTTTAAACATGTTTTCTTCATTTCGGCGTTTAACAAGCTTTTATAAATTTGATATCAAGCGAAGAAGCAGAGGATTGACAAGAAAGAGATCCAGCTATCAAAACTTTTACACAGCATGAACCACAATACAACTCGGTTCTTAACAAGGCTATGTCAGGTGACCTTGTCACGTGACTGGTCTGCGGATGCCATTAATGACTGACCGTGTCGACCGGTGGCAACAAAAACCCCGTATCCACTTTAATATCAGAGCGTGTCAATAACTTTGGTCGTTGGATTTTTAAAAGAAGAATAAAAATTTTTTGACAAACTTTACTCAATAAAAAAGAAATTAAGTTTAATGTTATTCTCGAAACAATGTAAGCCTATTTGCATTGAGTTTTATGAATCTGTTCTTTGACAAAACGATGCGCAGAAATAAAGTCATTGAGTTGATGGTATCTGACTAGCTTGGAGTTAGTAGGACCCACAGATTCTTATCTTACAAATGCTTTCTATTGATATTTCCACGATTAAATACAAAAAAAAAAAAAGAAGTTAAGACCAGTGTCGACGGTGAAGTTTAAATTATATTGAGGATCAATAGCTAAATTTTTATATTGAAATACTACAATATATAATCTTATTGTGTTAATAAGCAATTTGAAATGAAGAGTAAGCTGTCAAATCGACAAGCTGTTGCGCCAGTATGTCTCTCATTTTTGATTAAAATAAGAGAATTTACTTGGCTTTAAGTTTAAAAAAATGCTACTTTATTACCATTTAATTCTTTTATTAAGCTAGATATAATGTAATATTATATTATTTTTATTAGGCCTACATAAATTAATAAGCTTGTATATCTGGAGGTAGAGTAATTTCACTTAAGTTGTACTTTTGGATGAAAATATTCATATTAAATTAAATTTATAAACAATTAAACTGAATTAATTAATAGAAAAAGTGTCTTTAAAGTATTAAATAACTGGTATGGATTATTTGTACAGAAAGTGAATTAATTAAGTTAAACTATTATCTCACTTCCGCAATTCTTGAACTAGGTTTTACTTAAGTACTTTGAAGTGACGAATATTTCTTAATTGAGATTAAATAAGGTTTAGTTAAAGAATAGCGTAAATTAAATGATACAAAAATAAACCAATTACAGAAAGAAGTATCAATCTTCTACTGGAAGTAATTAGATAAGCTAAACTTGAGAATTAAAACAATTCTAGAACTTCTTGCATTAATAGAAACTTGTCGTAATTAATTAATATTGGGCATATCCATCTAATGATAATAATCTAAGAAAATTAAAGCGAATAGGTTTCTGGAACGAAGAGATTCAAAATAAGATTCTTATTATTGAGTTTTGTATTATGGAGCGACAATCTAAAATAAGATCCGTGATAAGAAGAGATTGCAACTCCGTTTCGCCAACGGTCTTGGTTAAAGTTGATAACCTACACTATCTTTACCCTATATAACTGTTGACATGTTCAGTAAAATTTCTTCTACATAGCGAACTACATATTTCAATGTTGATACTACTTCAGTATCTTGGTACCAAGCTTCCCTCCTTCCAAATAAAGCCATACAATAAGAGACATTGTACAAGCAGTATTGACATAATCTCCAACTTTTGTCTTGTAAAACAGTGAAGAACTGCCATGTTGTATTCGCTGCCAAATAACGTACCATTGTAAACAGAAAAAAAACCCTTCTGCACGTGATTATTCATTCTGACATTGTCTGTGACATTCTCAAAGATTTAAATATTTCGCGTGCGATACTAAAAATTGCTATTCATTTAGTAACAATTTTTTTTAATTATTTTTTTTATACTTTTAGAAAAGCTTGTTTTTTTTATTAATTAATTAGTCTCGAGGATTGTAAGCATCATTCAAAACGTTTTTAATGAAGGATTTAAGTACTTCATAACTTAACTCGTTCTTATTTTCTTTGTAATATCAAGTCTTTTAAATTAAATTTACAAATATTAAATGCTGTAATAATTATTAAATTTTAAATAATTTACACGTAGCGTGGTCTAAAATGAAGAGTAGATTTTTAACATAGACCCACGTCAGGAGTAAGACGAAAAAAAGTTGATGAAGGTTCCCTTACTTCATGCTTGTATGTCGAACATCACTCAAACTAGACTTGAAATTAGTTCTGTCAAAAAAAAGAATAAGAAAAAAAAATTGAATTTGTGATGTCAAACAGAAACTAAGCAGCAAGTTTCCACGTATTTATTTCCATTCAATTTTACTGTGACCTTTGTCTAAATTTAGATGATGCTATTGCTGTTCGTATTCTCATTGACCTCCATTGTTACTTTAATTTGTTTTATATGACTAAAAACTCTTATTAAAGTTTATTATTTCTTTTTAAATTATTATTATTTTTAATTATTATGAATAAAATTAATATATATAGGCCTATATATATTTAAAAAAAAAGTTGTTTCGATAAATAAACTGTAAAAACTATATTTGGTGAACGTAGCCTTCAATTTTTCAACAAGTGTGGATTAAAAAAAGTTTTTCAGTATAATAAATTGCTTCAATCTTTCATCGCTATCAGTTTGCTTCGTCCTTTTAACCTTCGTTTTACAAAGGTGTATTCACTAACAACTCTAAAATAGTAGGCCCTACTATAATTTACGATATGGTATCAACGAATACGTTTTTTTTTTTTTTTCTTTTCTTTTTAAATGAATGAAAATTAGAAATAAGTTTTAATAGTTATATCTTAAAGCATACTTTGACTCTTTTGAAATAAGCAGCCGCAGGGTAAAAAGACGATAGAGGGGGGCGAAAGGAGGGTAAAAAATCTTTCTTCCTTGCCAGAAATGTTATCCCACTTACAGCGGCACCTCGAGTCTCCCGGATGTCTGTTATGGCGGGAAATCTGTTGTCCTGGCAATCAGTGTGGGCCAGGTGCCAAAATTGTTATCCCCCTCCCTCCACTTTTCTCCTGTGACATTCAGGGATAGAGTGTTAGGAGTGGGTTTGGCACTTTTGTTCCACTCAACCTCCTTGGTAACTTTTGGTTTTACACTTCTTGACGTTCGTCAGGTGCAATCTCGTTAACTAGACTCGTTAAATTTGAATTTTCATTTGATTTTCTAAATACAACATTTTATATAAACATTTAACTTTTTATATATATAAACATTAGTCGGTCTAATATTAGATTTTACAAGCGATAACAAATATCGTTGACCCGACTTAGTAAATACTTCAACGAACTCGGTTAATAAGTGGCAATAAAAATTGATAAATAATTGAAAAATTATGTAATTTCATCTTTTAAAATTAAGTTTTTTTTTAATTACAATTCACAGAAGAAGTGAAATTCTAAATGATATACAATAAAATTAATCAAACTTTATATATATTTTAAGAGAAATTGAATTATCATAAATTTTATAAATTAAAAATTCAGACAGAATAACTAAATTTAAATTTAATTATAAAAATGTAGCTTATTCACATGCAAAACGCTTCTTCGTGTTAATATTAATATGTAATACTACTTCCTTAACTATCCATTCACTCCCACACTATGCTCTAAAGATGTGATTTTTAGAAATTTAATATAAAATTTTCTGTTTAAGAGATAAGTGTAGATGGGGATTATCATTAAATTACTTCTTATGTTTATGTATTATTAAGCGCAAATATTGCAATTCGACTTCCGTCTGAAAATATATTCCAATGTTAATTTTATTCTTAAATATTTCTCGCATATTTGTAACTAAGTTTACATTATTTTCTCATTAAAAAGATTGAATATATTTATTATTTAAATTACTTTAAATTAGTATAATTATAGTTTAGATACTAATAAGTTTGCTCGCTGTATAAAAAGATAAGTTATTTAATAATTTATATATATTAAAATATGTATGTTTATATGTAATAAATTTGGCGTGAATACACTTCAACACACTAGAAAAAATACTATGGGGGTATCCACCACCCCTCTTAATTTAAGCCCGGTCAATTTATTGTGTTTTGTAGTTTCATTATTGTAAATACTCGAGACAATAAGTGTACATTATGATTATTATTAAGACCATTGTTTTTATCACCCCTCTCAACTCAACCTCACCAATCCCCCTCAAAAGCCCGTTAATCTAGTAAATTTACAAAAATTAAACACTAAAATAGTAGACTAGAAGAATAGACAAAGGTATACTTCTCTTGTAAATCATTTTTTATTAACAAATAAACAAAAACCATGATATTTTTTTTTAAAAACGACAAACGAAATTTACAATACATAAAAATCGCCATAATATCTTGAGAAATTTCTATAATCCCGTATTCTGATTAATACATTAATACTTATATACACCCATTGTATAAATTATTATTAAATATAACAACAAATAACTTAATTAAACACAAAAATTACTTTTCGAACCATGCTAACACGAACCCATTTTTTAATCATTTGTGCTGGATTTTGCCTTTAATAAGTAGTATCGGTTGCTGTGGGTCTGTGTGTCTGTCTATCGGTTATAATATATTTGAAAAGTCTAACTCCCCCCGGTCCGATATTAAGATAGATAAAATAGATAGATCTCAAGAATCGGTGAAAGTTTCTCTTTCGTCATGCAGATCGCAGAGTATCGACTTCCCGCAAAAATGTCATTTCTTTCCTAACGTCAGCTGTTATATATAGGCCTAGTATAAGTTAGACGAAGTTTGAAGAGAATCGAAGAATTTAATAGCCGTATATAAGCCTGTTTTATTAAGAAATAAGTAAAATTTGTATGTATAGTTCCCCTGTATGTCCGATTTCCTGCATTACTCTATCCTATTTTTACAATAAGGATATTTTAGATTATATTCGATTATTATCATTAAATATATGTCTTTATAAAGTATTTGAAAAACTATTATTCAACTAAATAAATCAATTTTTAATTAAAATTAATTTAAAATATCGAATTTAGACAATTTTTCCAAGTCGAATTTAGCGTAGAATTCGATCGAAATGGCCGTGATTTAATTATAAATTAACCAATTTTTAATTGGAATATTCGTCATTTATTCTATATTTAGTGTATAATATAAATTATAAGAGATTTCGATAAGTTCTATTCTCAGGAATGGAAATTTATTTTGGACAGATAAACTTAATATTTAATTATTTATAAAATGTTTGGAAGCCATTCAGGAACTCTTTGATCTCTATTCATATCCTATAATGAAAAATATAAAATGCGAAGGATGAAACTCATAGTGAACATATTTTTCATAAGTTCTTTAAACATATCCATTCATCCATGTTGGACCACTGTCAATTTTTACTGTTAAAATACATTCATTCTATACTTTTTATAAAAACCTGGTTTTTTAGTCTATTTCTATATATATATATTCGTACCTTTCTTAATATTTTGGAATTATTCGATGACGTGTGAAAATTAAAAATTATTCTTATCTGTAGAGATTCTTTGGGTTCGTTTCTACAAATAACACTTTAAAAAAAGAATATTTTTTTAATGATAAAATCAAATATTTCATTTAAAAATCGCCATATTAAAAAGAGAATTTTATAATATATCCGAGATTATACTCATCAAACGAGAGATTCTGCATATTGTGAATAGATAGTCACTGCGGGAATCTTATCAGTATTCTGAACAAGGAACCTTGTATTATATCAGATGGGGGATCTCTTTAAAGAAGACTTCAAGTTAAACATCTCAGCTGGGGATCTAACTACAATAACACAGGAAAAAAAGCTTGAAAAAATATATATTTGATAAGAGAATTTGCGTTAATTTTCTTACTTAAATTATTTTGTATCACTAAACATTAACTCGAAACTATCAATGATACTAATAACAGAAAGTAATATCAGTTTAACAAATACTTTATTAAATAAAAATATGTAGAAAAGACAAGTTCATTAATTGTTTTAAGAAACTTAAAAAATAAATTAATTAAAAAAAATTATTTAAAAAGTATTTTTTTAAAAAAAGACCTTAATATTAAGTAAACGTAAGCTTAAAATCTAGAATGCGAGTACTAAAATGTAAAATATAAGCTTGAGTTTAAGTTTATAAGCTGAAAACTAAGTGAATTAAGACGTTTGTTTTCTATGGATTAGCTTAATCTATTGCGTATGAAACGTACTCAAAGGCCTATAATTTTGTAGAAAATATCAAGTAAGCAGTTAAAATATTTTTGGCAGCAATTCATTTCTTCTTAATTTGCGTGGAAGCGAAAAAAGCGGTCGACTATGTTAGAGCTAGACCGAAAATTGTTTGGCACAATTTGTCATGTTTTAATACTACTAGAAACAGTAAACTCTTCCTGGAATAGAACGTAAATAGGAAAAATTGAGCCCTATGGGGACAATTAAAAAATAACAAGAAATTAAAGCTTGGGGCCTACGAGGTTTAATTAGAAATATTAAGAAAATAAATTCCCAAATATCAATTTAATAGTTTATTTCCAACACGCGTAAGGCCTATAGATATATATCTGGACAACTAAAAATAAATCGAAAAAGATTTTAAAAACTAAACAAAAAAAATGGTAAAGTATATTTAAAGTTACGGATGAATGTAAAATAAACTACTACTCTCATTCGTAAGTTTTTATGAAGTCTTATATAACATAGTCTATAATTATATCTAGACTATAATTATGCCTTTTTAGTTTTTTACGCTATCTAATATTAATCATGACTACATAAGTTTTAACAGAGTTAGATTACATCTACAAGAAAGGACCATTTCTTTTTAATTTAGGGCCCTCGGAATACAATTATATAGATATTTTCAAGCTATAGACTTTTCTTATCCGTTATACTATATTTAGAATTAAATTTAAACACAATAGAATCATAAATTGAATTTAAAAAGATTGATTCTCGGAAGCATTGGGCAGCCAAAATGTTACTTCGATGTATTATTTCTACCTAAACAATGATCTTAATTAAATAATTTATATAAATAAACTGAAACCCATTAAAGAAAATCATCAGCAGAGAGGGGAGGAAGAGAAAGGAATGATATATATAAGACTTAAAAATCATAATTTAGAATCTAAGAGATTTCTATAAGGAAGCATTTAGGTAAATTTTACAAAGAAATAGAAGAAACTAAGCCAAATTTCCATAAGTAAGAATATAGTTGTCCCCATTTACATATATATATATAACATTATAATATCAATAATAACCACACAATAAGTATGAGGCATAATCTGTATTGCTTCAGATAAACCCAATACAACAAAAAAAAGCGACAACGATAATTTAACATTAATTATAAAATTTTTTAACAAAATAGACCTACTCACTCATAAATTAACTAGAAGAGGTCTATATTTTATATATAATTATTTCCATCTAAACACAACAATGACTATATATATAACTACTTTTATATACATTTCTAAAATTGTTTACAAGATAACTACATTATTTATTGCTATGCCATTCTTATAAGACACGAAAAGGAATGACATGATATTTACAAAAAGGTTTGATTCATTTTTTTGATGGTTCCTTAAGGGTCTAAACCAACCTAGGACTAGTACATGAGCATGCATACTTGACAAAACGATGATTACTATCACGACAACTCAAAAATTCTGAAAAATATACAATTTTTGTATGCAAAAATGGTATATTTTTCACCAAAATAGTTAAATAGAGACACACAGAAAAAAATTTTTTACTTGACCGTGCAAGTGTTCCTTTAACTTGTCCTATTTGAGTTGCTTTACTTGTCCATTTACTTATTGTTCGGGGGGTATAGTTGGTGGTCAAGTAAAATTCTTCTATCACAGTACTATTTCTGGTTGACATTTAACTAAAAAGTGCTTCTTATAAATTAAATTGTAGAGTTCAGTTGACTAGTGTGAGGGGGTGCTTCCGCAGTTTGTCTGCACAGCCGATGAGTCTTCAATTAGGTAGATCGGAGTAGTACTATAATCGGCTAATGAACCACAGCCATGCCCGAAGATAATCGGCGCACTACACTGCTCCCTGTTAGGGTGAAAGCCTAGTAGCTAATGAATTGGAAAGTGGCTTAATTATAGCATTCCTTGTTATGCCACCATTACTGCAAGGGAGAACTTTTAATGGGACCAAATGAACCCGAAACCCAAGTGGTTGCAGACTTTGTAGTTTTCGGAGTACCTGTTGTCCCAATTACATGGTCCTAAGTGAATATTTTAAATCAATTCACAAGTAAAATTCGGGTGAACTGGGGTTGCTCGCTCCGGCACTCGAACCACTCGAAAGCGAACCTTGTGAACAATCGCGACTTCGAACCATAACCAGTTGTTGCTTGTAATAGTCCCTTTCCTGACAAGTCCTTTCTAATTCTTGACGTATACGTGAAAGTTCTGCGTGTAACAAACGATTTTTGCTTTCCAGTTCGTGTCGTTGCGCCAAGCGCTTTGTCCGACAGTTCTGAGCGTAACCCCGATTTTTTAAAGTTCGTCTCTTCTGTTTCAAACGCACAACTTCTTCTCTTGGGAAACCGTGGAGTCGTTTATTCAAATCTCTAACTGATAAAGAAATCAGTTGGTCGTCGTCCAAAATATCTCGAGTTTGGGAAGCCTGCATCATTTGCGGTCCCGCAATTGATACCAAACCGGATGTTTGAGAATTCATCATAGCCGCACTGCTAACATTACATGAGGGATTGGTACCTGGGTGGTTCGGCACTTCACTATACTCTCTGCGTCCGATCCAGCCTTCTACTTCGCCTCCACATTGAGGTCTTAAGTCGAGAGGTTCCTGGCTAGTCACTCCACCGTATCTCAAAGTTTGGGTGAGCCACATCATGCTGTCATCTAATAAATTCGATTGCTTTGGTTCCATCGATGCCGGTGCCATAACTGGGCTGGCCAAATTAGATATGGGAACTGCAGCAAAAACGGGCGAAGGTGGTAGACTATGGCAATTTGTTCCGCCGGTGGGAGTATCTGGAGGTGTACCTGGAGTACTTGCCGTCAAGACGACTGGTTTACGTGGTCCTGTGAGTATTGTCAATGGATTATGATTCATATTCTGCTGATCCGAAACCATTTGTAGATTATTCGCAGCGTTACCGCAGACTAGTCCGCTATATTTGGCCCTATTTTCCATCTCGTGCTTCACCACCTCCTCCAGATGGTCCAAGTCGAAGTCGTTGACGTAGTCGTCACTCTCCATTGCGAACGCGACCATCCAAAATAGCGCGCGTTGTCCTTGGCGCCTTTAAATACTGGCAGGTGGCTAGTACCCCGGATGGAGCTGCCAGCCAATAGAGCGATGGAGTAAAGTGAGCTCGGTTTATCACGTGCACCTAGTCTTCTTTGTCGTCCGTCCCCTACAGTAGGTGTTTGCATCAGGTATGTAACGTTTGCCTTAATTATTATTGTTGTCAACATCACAATAAGTAAACAAAAAGTTGAAATTTGCAACTTATAAAATTCATTACAGGCAATGTGCATGCTACTCAAACTATTCGCTTTATAAATGCGTATATTAACTTGGAGTGATTTTCATTCATTCTAACGTACAGTACATAAACATCCTCTTAAATCATAACAAATATTCAATTAATCAGTTTACTATTTAGATTTCCTCTAAAAGTTTAATGACTAGTTAACAGCATCACGATTGATAGTAATTTTAATTTCAGATAAACATCAATGAAAACAGCTGGTTTTTCACAATCTATAAACCATCTTTCGTAGCTGAAATCGAATAAAAAAAAGTAAAATTGAGGGTCTAGTTCCCCCCATTTTTCGCATCAGTTCGTATAAGTTCTCTTCTGGAAAGAATAATGCTAGAAGAGACGTGATTTTAACTCCTTATTTAGATAAACAAACTAGAATAATGTGCTTTTATATATACGAGTGTACATTTATATGCAATTTTTTATCCTTTAAAAGCTCCCAAATTTTTAAATATACTATTTAAATTTTCGAATATTTACACCTGGGATCATCCACTAGCAGAAAGCAGTAGTAACAGTCTGGTGACAATCGGAAATATAATGTCAAGGTGTGACAGTGATTTATACACACTTCAGTAACCTATGCTCCTTTGGGCTGTATTGCGAATGTTTATTTGTTAAAACACCATCTGTTTCTCACTTTCCTTCATTCTCTTTGTTCAGTCAAGTCAACTAGACCGTCTCTAATTTTAGACATGGTACAACAGACGATTGCAATTGTTTGATGTGAGACTAGCGTAAGTAATGAGGCCCTATACAAGTATTGTTTACAAGCTTCACTTTGACTAAGTTAGCAACAAGTCAACGTGACAGAAGACACGAACAAATTTTAGTCATTTAAATTAGTTAATTATTGATAAAATAGCTTTTGTATCTTACCGTCTGATGCTAATAAATGAACTTGGGGTAAGATATAAGAAACAAATACTTTTACACATTAATTATGTTAGCTATTTTATTAATGTGGAAGCAACATATAATAATAATAATTATTATTATTAAGCTTAAAATTTCTTTAGTCTTTAAGACATAATTCTCAATATTTTTACTTTAAAAAAAATCATGTTTTTGCACAAAATCGTTTAAATTAAATAAATTTTAATAGAACCGAGAATATATAAATTTAAATTTATCTTACGTTACATTTTACAGTGCTTATAAATCATAATTAAGCATTATTTTTTATGGTAGTGTTAGCATCTCGTTATATTTCACCGTTTATGACTCTGGATCCCGATTATAAGAAGAAAAATCTATAAATTTTTTTGTGACTGTATTTACCAAAAGTAATGAATATTTAATGTATAATCATTTAATTTTGGTGACATTTGATAATTCATAAAATGCACAATGTCACACACGAATATTTAATAAAAGAAGTTTTGGCTTGTATCGAAATTAAACTGCAGTTGCGAATACGAGATAGGCCACAACGTATAAAATTTAGATTTTTCTAATAATATTACTATATATAAAAAAATTTTATACAGAGTATTATTACAAAAATCTACATTTTATAAAGTGTAGCTTTACTATTACCGTATCCTTCTCCATATAAATTTTTTAAATGCTTTAGTAAATATACTGTATAACTTTTAATACGTTAACTCTTATAATATTTGTCTCGTTGATATTTCAAATAAACAATTGGTATAAATATAGATTACAAATATTAATATAATATAGAAAATGAAGTTTCAATTTACCTTAAAGTATTCGAGTTAAAAGCTGAAATTTATCTTCAAAATGGGAAAAAATTCAAAGATTTTTTAATGTGAGTCTGATTCTATTATATAAAAGATTATGTTGAATAGATGTTATATAAGATACTTACGTAAACAATATGCTGTAAATATCTCTTTCATGCTTACATGGGTCTTATAGACTATATATATGTAGGATATAAAGTCTATGTAAGCATTTATAAGGCCTATTATATCTATTTATTCTAACTTAAAATACTTTTAAATATGTGCCAGTTTGTTTTATAATTTCTAATAATAAATGTTTTATATATTTTTTGAATTATAGCTTAATATCTATAATATAGCTATAGTAATTAAGCATATAACTAGATCTTTTTGATGGCAGAAAACGCTAAAGATGTAAGAATAATTATTCAAAATAAAAACTTAAATAGTGTATACACGACAAAAAAATAGCCTATAAATTCGTTTAAGTAGAATGGCTGCAGAGCAATTAATGTAGGCCTGTTAGAAGTCGAACATGAAAAACTTTTATGCACTGGTACAGTACAGTACGTTTGGGTTATTTTCACCATATTTATGGCGGATATCTAAATCGAAATATCTGTAGGAAGGAGGGAGATAACCGTACCATCCGTATTAAAACTCCCCACTAATAATACTACAGGCCTCCTATTCTACCCACAAGAACTAACTAGTGAAATGACTAAGCCGAAGTAAGCCAAAATCAATCGATATGTGAAATCAAGCTTGTAACCAAGTTAGCTGCCTCCTAATTCATATTAGTAGCAGTTCTTTCGTGCTTTTTAACCATATTACAACCATTAACCGATTTATAACTTTTGCACAAATTAAGTTATTATGCAAATTTTGATGCAAAATGAATTTTGATCATTTTATTAATAAATTGTTTAAAGAATTAAACTTATAGGATACCGTTCTATTGTCGTAATACAAAATGCCGCTCTAGTATTAACTATAATTCGATTTCTGTCTATCCAGTACGGGATATTAGGTTTCAGTCTTTGTCTTTCAGTTATTAAACCTCTTAAATTGATGCTATACGGTTAAATTCATAATTTAGATTAATTCGCTTTCTTTTATCGTTCGCATTTTTACTTTCTTGTGACAAGCGCTCGGGAAAAAATTTATAGGAAGTATTCGATTTAGAGCTCTCGTGCTTATGGAACTTTTCCTAGAAAAATATTTGTTCGATGAGTCGTCTTAAACCTCTATCAAAAACTTATATTTTTCTCTTCATTTTCTTTTCTCAGTCGAACTGTGTTTCATTTTTTCCGCTTCGCGATTCAATATATCAGTTTTTTAAAGTTATTCATAGGCTGTGTGATAAATAAGATTCTAATCACCTGGCGCGTTATCCTATGAGAAAAGAGGTCCCCTGTTGATGGGGGCCCAGGCAATTATCAAACCTATCTTTTATAAGAAAATATTTTCCCCAAAAATTCTCCCTCAACTGTACACGGGCCCTCTAATTCAAATTTACCTGGGCCCCATAAAGCTATAACGCGCTAATGCTAATCACTAACACAAACTATTAATGCACTAGTTAATATCTTCTAAGTTAGATTTATAATATCTTTTTCCAATAATTATTTATTAATACGAAGATTTTTAGAACCTGCTCTATTCTTTACTGTTATAAATTTGAAATTTCCATATTTTCGTAGTTGTTAAACAAGGATAAAATGAGATTTTATACGAGAAAACAAGCTATTTTATTTATTTTTTTCATTGAAGTTTGAATATTATAATTTAAGTTTACCGAAGATTTAAACTAATATCGAAATAATTAAGTTATCATTCTAAATTAATTAAATTAAATAAATGAAAAAAAATTATTCTCTTAATTGCAACTTTAATAGCTTAAGTATAAGGCTTAAATTAAATAGATTATTATTTAAAACCTTTTTATTTATGATCGTTTGTGACAATGGAAATTTTTCTCTCTTGTATTTTAATAAATATTATATTTTAAAATATTTTTTTCTAATTGTTTTTTAAATGGAGAAACTAAAACTAAAGTTGGAGAAAGTTGCTTTGAATGCTTGGTTTCTTTTTTTAATTCACAAATTATTGTTAAAATCTAATGAAATTTCACAAAATCTTAAGATCTGATTTAAATCTTATTGATTTTAATCATTTAATTCGAGTTAGATTCGAAGAATTGATAATTGAAACGTTCAATTGCACGTCACTTAAGGAGTGCAAATTTTCAGACTTTATTTCTGAAGTTCGATGCTAGCTTATATGAAAGTAACGTAATGAAAGAAACTTTTGAACTGTTTTATTGTAGTTTTATCTATAAATTTACTATAAGGCCTGTGATTTTTGTGTCATTCAACACTTTGGAAATGCCAGAGCGCGAAGCTGTACAACGGCTGGTACGAGAAGACGATAGGAATTAAGGTAGAAAGGGAACGAAACGGGGCCTATCTAAGGCCTTATGTCACATAAATGGAAAGGTTCATTTATTACTGGCCTAAATCAGATGGGTTGAAAGATTCTTGTTGACAGAAACATCCGCCGGAGGGAGCCACAGATGTTTGTGTGATGGGAGGGAGAGGGATGCAGGCAATGACTACAGGACTAGCTGAGACAAGTTCTTTTTGCCTAGTAAAAGTGGTTATTAGGATGAGAAGTGGAAATCGATTTCAGCTGCGGTTTTGTTAGTACAAAGCGAAATTACTCGTTTTGCCCGTGTTGTATTCCTGTAGAGATTTACATGTTCAATTCGTCGAGTTGTATGACTGCGAGGGATTTCTACAACTGTAAATATATATAAAGCGAATAGCGATTGTTTCCAGATTCAATTAACAGTTTCGAGAAGAGGTGAGAACTCCACATACGAACTTCTTTTTTCATATATTTTGAGAAGATTTCTCTTCTTTCCACCAGATGGGGTTTTGCCCGAGGATAAATTATTGAAGAGCAAATTTTTGAATGATGTTACTTCGGACCACTTGACTGAAAACTAATGAAGTCTACTTTTGAGATGAATAGGAAAGAATTATAACGAGGGAAATTGATAAGTGGATCTTGTTTTTCCTCCTCCTTTTTTGATCTTTAAATTCTTCTTTAAAGAATTGTTTTTGGTCGAGGAGATGATGAGAGTCATTTTGGCTGAAGGGGGTCTTCGATGTTTAGTGTTTCGAGTGTACGATTC